TGGATCGACTGTGAACTTGGGAGAAAGCATTAACAGTGACATTACGTTTTTTATCCACTCATCCTTTCAGACATATGCCCTCTATCGCGCTTAATGTCTGTCTAGTCTAAAGGCCATCACTTACCGTTGATCCAGCTGATGTGGCAAAGGCCATGAGTGTCAAGGCAGCATATTAACACGAGTGCCTTATAAAATGAAATGGGTGGAATAATGCATTCAGGAAACACAACTCCGTGCATGCTTGTAAAACAGTTTTTGCTGAATGAGACGTGGGCGTTTATTTGTATCAGAATCTTTTTTTCTTTCTTTCTTTTTTTGCATTTATTTGAATGATTTTAATCACCTTTGCTTTACGTTATATTCATGATTAGGTTACTGTCTTGTGATTCATGTTTAATCAAGCTAACTGTGTTTTTGTTGTGCGTTTTCAAAGGTAATGTCCTAGTTAAAAATGTTATATATAGGCAATATAAAATATTTTTGAGTTGTTTTAAAGAAACATTACATGTAAAGAGTAACTCTGGGATAGAGTTGAGTGCTATTAAGTTTGTCTTTCTCGCTGTCCGTCTGATTATGCAAAAACTTACCAGAGGTGAAGCATGAACGAGGGGAGAACCCATGAAAATTTTATGTAGATCTGGATCACTTTCCTCAAAGTACAAAATAGGGCAGTGGCCTTGACAGAGGATGTACTTTCTGAGTACCCTGTAAGTGATTTTTTTTTTTTCCCTCACACATCTCTAAGGACAACAAGCCAAGAGTTTAAATGAGACTATTTTAATCGGAAATCAGTTTAATAAAGTGCAAAACAAAACCAGATGATTCACGTCTCTCTTTGTTGACTGAGCATTAATCTTTAATAACTCAGGAGGCTTTTCCAGCACTCCAAGTCAAACCAAGCACACAAACTCATCAGGATCATGCTATCATCAAAGTGCCTGGATTTTGCTCGACTGTGATACACAGATTATTTCATTAGTAATGTTAGCCCTTTTTTGCAAATGCTAACAAAAGATGAATTTGTTGAAACGTCTCCTGTTTATAAGAGCAAGAAAGCATGAAGAAAGTATGAAAGCATCCTTTAACAAATGGAAATGTATTTTTCACATAGCTACCCAAAGGTTAGCAATAGATACATACATACATAAACACACATAACGTTACACAGACATTTGGCGATATCCAATTTCCGAATTTGCTTTAGTTAGTCAAAATTAATGTAATGCATATAAACATTTCTCGTGAAAGGCTTTAAACAACATGAACAGCACCCATTAGATCTAAAAATAAATTATATATTAAGTTTTTGGGGGGTCATACATTGCTACCAAATAGAAATCTACACGTAAGAGGTATATGATATAATTACAAGACAAATACATATCTTTAATACAACCTTAGTACAATGAAAGAAAAGCATTAAAGTTATTTTGGTACCGGTAGTTATTCCTAAGAGTTTCCTCCACAGTGTTAATATGGTTGTTCTGGGTAAAAGTGGGAAATATTTAGTTGGTGTATTCGGGCCTTATTCCCATGATAGTCACCACAAACAGAGTTAGCTGAAAACTGCCTTGCTCAAATAAACCTTACCAACTAAATGCCACCCACATGCCCCTTAAATCAAAACAGTTTAACCCTGGAAAATGAAAAAAAATGGATGTGAACATTAAACAGACTTAAAAAGGAGTTTAGGAGGCTAGTAAACACATATTTGAGCCTCTGTGTCATGGCATACTTCCTAATCAGTTAAACGAAGTCTGGCTTTGTTTTTCTTTACTGTGCACTGACTTGGAATATAAAGACCCCAGCTGTCACTCAACCCTCAACTGCCAGGGCCAGTCTCAATAAGTAATGTGACTGCAGGCTGAAGTACAAACAGACAGGCAAGGTCTGACACCTGCTGGAGAAGACGATCACTGCGAGAGTTCGTGTTTAGCCAGTCGTGGAAGCAGTTTTTTGTTTTTTGTTTTTTAAGAACTACCAAACGCTACAAGTGAGATCTCATGCTGCCCTGGACCCTAAAACACAACTATCTAATGAATTTGTTAGGACAGCAGTGTTTTCATGAAGTCCTTATTTGACAGTGCAAGCTATCCACTATTTTTCCAATAATTTCTTGTTTAATTCGATATAGCAAGTTATTATATTTTCTAAGAACTAATATGCATAAAGATTTCTAGAAAGATCATTCAAATTCTCAAAAAGTTCACTTCGTGTGGCAGATCGTCTCATCAAAGAGAAACAAAACCCCTTTTAATTGGATCCTCAGCTAATTGCATGATGTCTCCCATGGCACTGCACGGTGAAGTGAAGCATAAGAAGAAAGAAGAATGCTGTCTTTGTTGCGTTTTTGCTGGCTTTGGCTCTGAAAACACTTTGGAAGCACTCTGCCGTGGATCCTGACAGTTTGTGGAAACTGATTTTAGTCTAATTGGAGTGTTGTGTTGTACTGTACTACCGTCCTCGAAACACGCAAAGCCAGGAGTGAAAATATAACAGACAAAAGGTAAGGAAATCAGTGTCCCGAATTTTGGATTTTGTCTGAAATGTCGCCTAATTTCACTTCTCATTTATGATCCACTTTAGACCTAAAGTGGATCATAAATGAGAAGGGTCCTTTTGCCACTCCTAGTGCTGCTCTGTCATACTCTTTGCTTGACTGCAGGACTGGAGCCCTGAGCCTGATCAAAAGTACCACAGCAGCACAGGATCACAGTCATCAAGCCTCTAAAAATACCCAACTCTGTGCCGACCACCTTTCCAAGCTATATTCACCTCTGTGCTCCCCTCTTTGCAGTTCCACTCCTCCTTTGACCTTCCTCACTCCACTGCATGGGGCATCCTTGACTATTACCATCCCATCGCAGCCTGAGCTTCTCACCCCCATCCGCATTCAGATAAAATACCTATCTAATTTGCCACCTCTTGATTGTCTACTTTTGGGTTAACCATTTCTGTGTAACACTAGAACTCATTAGAGTTTGTACCTATACCTCAGAAGCACTAAATGTTCTTTAACCATTGAATGTGCAACGCTCCTCCGTTTCTGCCCCATGCTTATGGTGCCTGCTTTCAAAAAGCAGACATGGTAACAGGAAAAACACTTGTTTAACTTTTAACAACCAGTGGGTGGCGCCATGCATCTTTTATGTACAGTCTATGATGTGAACATATCTTTACAGATTTAATTAAAAGTAAGATGGAATTTCTAATTTGCTAATTATTGAGAGAGAGCGATAGAGAGAGGAAAAAGTCAGCTATTTCCTCTCTTTATATTAGAAAAAAGGATTATCTTTGACTTTTGAAGGTAAGGAAGGACTCTCAGAACTTTGCCACTATTTCTTTGACTTTTTATGTCTAAATGCTTACAAATTCAAGCTAAATAGATAACAAAATGCAATTTGAAACACTTGCAATTTTATTTAGTAAAAACTGTAAAGCACCTTTTGTATAATAATCATCCTTCCACAAAAGAGTTATATATATATATATTCTGCTATAAATGACCATGCTTTCACTGCACTGCACAATAAAAAATTACTTCATTTGCTTAATTGGGTTGCTTCCTCTTTCAGTGGTGGAAGCTTGAATCAAGCTCACTGGTTCTGGGTCATCACCCAGAGCTTATTACAAACAGTATAAAGGGATCAGCATCTCCCTCCCCTCAGTGTCCCCCAGAAACCTGAACAGAATAATGAGCAGTAAACAGGGAGAGTAGCAGAGAGGCAGAAGAGGGGGGTCTCCAGCTCAAGGGCTGACAAAGAAGGGGGGGTCTCCACAAAGACTCACTCAAGCTGTTGCAGTCACATGGGCAGAGTTTTTTTTCAATAAACCAATGAAAAGAGTTTTACAGCCCAGCCTCGAGTCCTTGTTTTGGATGTCAGTGGCAGCAACATGAGTGAATCCGCACAAGACAGAGTGCCGACGGCAGTGAACCTCCACCTGAACGGGACCGCAGCTTTGGAGCAGCAAGACGAGAACATGAGCTCTGGCCTGTTTGGTACGTGATGTTCTTCTTTTAATTTCTCAGAACTCTTATCATAAAGTTTAACCGTTTTTCCCTTTGCTTTCTGCCACCCAGATATCAAAGTGTTTAACTTTGTGATGATCACTTTGGCCTTTTGTATACTTTCCATCACTGGCTTGTACTGCATTACCGTCTGCTACAACCGTTCCAGGTGAGCCTAATGGACTAAAGCATGTTTATAGATATGTGCAACTCCTAGTTTAATTGAGGTAACAGCTGAATGAAATTGTGTATTTGTTTAAATTAAAACTGATAATCTTAAAGAGTGACCAGGTAATCCAAAGTAAAGTTACATGTCAGTGTAATTACTACTGCTTTGTTCAACAGACAGTCAAAAAGAGCACAATTATACGAGAGCGCAGTGACCCGAGGCGAGCTGGAGGATCCCGTGGCAGTCAAAGCAGTGAAGAGATCGACGAGTTTCATCAACCCTCTCACCTTCTTCAGGAAACCAGAGGCACCAAAGGATAACTCCCGGATCTATTACATCTACAGTAACCCACTGCCCGTAGGAGGGAAGGATGAAGATGAGGAGGGAGCCAATAAAGCCATTGGCGTACCAGAGGAGCAACAGGTGCTCTCATTGTCTCACTCGTTTCAAGAGTTCGCCAGTGATCCTAAAAGTGGTGTCGTCCTGGACACTCCAATATTTTACATGCAGCTTTAGAGGGTGGGAAACAGTTCTAACAAGATTAGCTAGAGGCACTTGACTCAGTCTGAAAGGTTTGAAGTTTGACACCTCCAGCTATGTGTATGAAAACTTCTCACCAAGATGTGAAGGGCACTACATCAGTTGTACAACCTAGATTCAGTAGTCTGTGATACACTACTCAGAACTACTACTACTGTAGATTTCTTTTGCTCTAAAAGAGTCTGAATAATGTATTCCATGTTTCATGAACACTCAATATATGCTAATAGTTCATCAGAAGTTATTTCCCCTCACAAAACAGTAAGGATATAAAAGTGCTTCTTGCTTTTGACAGATCTTTAATAAAACTGCTGATGTAATGTGCTTTACAAAAGAAGCTGGGTGCGAGACATGGAGAAACATGAGAAAATACAAACGTTTATCACTGCAGAGCAATCAACAGTAATCCTGGGCAAAATGATCATGGTCCTCAGATGATCAGCTGGGTCTCTCTGATCAGCCACTCTAATGCCTCCTGCCTACCCTGCCTCTCCAACTCTGCTCCAACCACCTCCCGACACTTCCTGTGGTACTCATTCACCCAGTCCCGCTGCAGGAGAGGAGAGCCAAGAGTCAAACCACATATACACGGCATAATGTAATACAGGATTTCAATAACATTGCAAGCTGAGAATGTTCATTTTCACTGCACAGAATAAAAAGCTGATAATACTGGATGTGCAGAATTTGAAGTTTTTACCACATATATAACTGTGATAAACTCCAAGTTAGGGCTGTGCGATATGACCAAAATCTCATATCCCGATATTAAGACATCTATCGTCCGATAACGATATAAATCACAAAAATGTAACATTTTCTGTAAATTCTGTGAATCTCGGGCAGCTTGACTTGCGTTAAGTGTTTCCAGCTGGACGTCGTGTATCTGGAGTCGAGTGTTTTAACCGATGCATGAAACGATACATTTTTAGACATAAGTTGTAACAGCCGCCATTTTTTTTTGTGAGTATTTATTACATGGCGTGCTGCGGGGAAAAGCCTGTTCTAACGTTTGAGTCTAAGGTTTATTTTTTAGCACCTGGCGGCTCTTTTTTGCTTCCCATCAGTAAACACTCTGCATCTTTCACGTGATTCAGTTTATTTTGAAAAGTCTCAACAGGATCTTGAGCTTTATTGTGAAAGGTTTATGTGGAACAAGCGGACACACGGTGGTTGCTAACGACAACGCATAAAAACAAACGCTTGTCTGTCTGTAGTGTGGTTATATTCAATGTAAGAGAAAGAGTAAACAGTTCATTTTGCGACACCACGAAACAAACGATTGCGTAAAAAATATATCGTTATATCGAACAACCCTACTCCGAGTATACATATACAGATTTTTCTTTTTATCCGAGTACCAAAACCTTACCTCCTTCTGAGTGAGAAGCTCTGTATTCATCATTTTCACTTGGATGGGAACCAGAGTGAGAGGCTCAAATGTCAGACTACCCCTGTTTCTGTAGTTGTACTGCACATACAGACAGAAAAACAAAAACATCATTAATTCATCTCATTATTTTGATACAAATAATTAAAAGTAAAGAACATCTTAATGGTTATAACGACTCATAGATATTTAGAGAATGTGTAAAAAAAGAAAGTCGTATGTTTGATCTACTGCATTTCTGAACATTCATTTGACCCGTTTTAACACGTACTTTGGGCTTAGCTGGTACAACGAGGACCACATTTTCCAGACGAATGCCAAAAGATCCATCTTCATAGTATCCAGGTTCTACAAAGAAATAACACACACAAACACACAAATTATAGCCAGCTGAGCTTTGGTAGCCTTATCCTCCTAGGACGTGGCGTCCACACATGTGGACATCACATTTTGGGTTTTCTAGACTAAAATACTACATTTTGCTCTACAAGTGCCTGATATCCACTTACGAGGACATTAGACTGCCACTAATCTATCAAAAAGTGAATGTCCTGATATGTGGATCCGTTTTTTCTCAGAAACAAAAGTCAGTTTTTTTTTTAAAAACAAACAAACAAACACGTAATTCTTTGTTTTTACATTCATCCCAATCAGCCCAAATAGCAAAGAGAAAGAAAAAAATGCATGCCATGAAAGAGTTCGGGTACTTAGGAGGTTAAATTTGGATATTTTTATAAGATTTTCTTTCAATCTCTGGAAAAACTACAGGTTCCTCTTTTGACTTGTACACTACTTGGATAAGCAGATATCTCCAGAGGAGATACAATGATGTAGCAGTTTTTGACTGTATTATATCACAGAAAAAAATAGAAGGTTAATGGAAAAAGTCAATTAATTATTGACTTTGTTTCATTTCCAGTGTACTCACGGTATTTATTGTTTTAGCTCTTTCCTGAATTTGCTGCTGGGGTTTCTCTGAATAACTGGACATTTATTAATCGAACAGCTGCTCTGTAAACACTGCAAATGCAACAGATTCTTCATTTTATGATCCATTATACAGTAGATCATACCATCGCTGACAATCATGCCGGCCTCCAGCGGTTCATCTGCGAAGGTTTTGTAGCTGATGCCGCAAGGCCCCTCGTGAACGTTGAGGAAACAGCCCACCCCGTGACCTGTACCATGGAGGTAGTCCAGCCCAGACTCCCACAGGGCTGAACGGGCAAACGAATCCAAGAGGTGGCCTGGTAAAGGAATAGAGGTTTAGATCAAAATGTCAAAGGTCTTTTACTTCTCTGCTTGTGGATGTTAAAATACTGAGTGTATGATCATAAAATACTGGTGGCAGCCAGTGGTAACTCTTAGCCTTCTAGTAGATGCACCTATGGTAATAATTTCAAACTTCCATGTCCCCTGGCAGGGTGACAGCTTCCGGCTTTTTACGCGATATAATCATAACACGATTGTTCTTCCTTTGGTGTAAGACACAGTTCAAGATTGTAAGTAAACAAGCTTGATTGGCCAAAAAGATGCCCGTGTTATGAGCGACAAAATGTTTATCTTGTAGAAATAAAACATTTGTATTCCTGAATAGACAGAACAAGTACTAATCACCGTGAGTCATCTGGAACTTTGTTAGCTATTTTGGTGTAAAATCGTCATTTTTAACATCCGTGTACTGAAAACAACATCAGCATAGTCTTAACGACAGAGCCGAGTGCTGCACCTTTTGTTCCATTGGGGAAAATGGCAGCGCTGACAGCTATGTGTCCCTTCAGTACGTAGGTAAAGCATTCCTATGAGGAAAATAGCACACATATTACAAAGATACATATAATAGTCTTTGTAAATAAACAGTACTGAGTCAACCTAAGTGTAATTCAATTAAATTAACCGGTGGCAGGAAATATTCTGAGCAATCGCACAAACTTACCTTCTCAAAAGCAGATGGTGTCCCGAAGTGCATGGTACGTGTGACGTCTGTTGTTCCATCACTGCAAAAGACGTAAAGAGGTAACTGATTATCCTAAAGACATCTGCTCTGCAGCATTTAAAAGCAACCTTACTTACACGTATTGAGCTCCAGAGTCGATGAGATAAACTTCATTTACGGTGAGGGTCCTGTTGGTCTCAGGCAGTGGTCTACAAGCAAAAACATGAAATCACAGATACAAGCTAAAACTATGAATTAACAAAAATGACACAAATACAGTTTTTATTTGCAAACTAACCTGTAATGTATGATCGCTCCATGTGGACCAACACTGGAAATTGTTGGGAAGCTGAGACCCACAAAATCTTTCTGCTGACTGAAAAAAGTGCAAGAAAATGGTAAGCATTAATGATAGCCATAATTATACCATGAGAAATATTTTAAATATTTACATTGGAGAGACCAAACAGCCACTTCACAAGCGCATGGCACAACACAGAAGAGCCACCTCCACAGGACAAGACTCAGCAGTCCATCTGCATCTTAACGATAAAGGACACTCTTTCGAGGATGCCAGTGTTCACATTTTGGACAGAGAGGACAGATGGTTTGAAAGAGGAGTGAAAGAAGCCATCTATGTCCACTGTGAGCGACCATCTTTGAACAGAGGCGGGGGTTTACGACACCAACTCTCTGCCATCTATAATCCAGTTTTGAGTTCCCTCCCCAGACGCCTTAACACCCACTCACATCCTGGGCCATCTGACCTCAGGAATTCGCATGATAAGGTGGGGCCAGGTTTCACAATGAACACACCCGAAACTCTGGCTGATGGGGACCCACGCCCAGTTTCACACCTTGGCTCAGGTGATTAGAGGATCATCAGGGGGTCCTTTTGTCCCTCTGTGGGGGGATACTCCCACTAGGTTTATATCTGGGACTCTCCACCATTTGACCTTAGAACTGAAGAAGCTTCTCGGATGAGAGGTGAAACGTCTTCAAGCAACTTAAAGAAGTCCAGACGCTTTTCTGTGCAAGCTCCTTTGACTACGATGACCTGGATGACTGAGAACCTTCACAGACATTTTAAATTAAAAAAGAAAACCAATTATTATTTTTTTCTGTTATTTTTCCGAGATGCAACTGTTTCTTGATGACAGCTTTGGTTTCAAAAGGTAGCCACATGCAATAGTTCTTAATTACCAGTTAAGTGGTAACAGACAAATTTCTTCTTTTTAATGTGATTGAGATGATCGGGGTTTGTTGTTATACAGCAAACAGCTACATTTTAATCAATAACAACTTCTCCGCCTGCTTCCAGCACTTCCTGCTAGCACCTGGTGGGAGTTTGTTTCCCATATTTGCACTATTTTTGCTTACTATAGAAAAGGCAAATGTGCCATTTATTAGTTTTTAAAAAAGTATTTTTTTTAAATGACATATGACACTTTCACCTTTTTACCCCAGAGGGATAAAAATATTGCAAAAGCTTAATACCAGGTTAAGATTAATACCAGAACTTCAGCACTTTGTTTTCTTCCTATGTCCAGTAGAGGGAGCTGTGACCATTCTGTGCTCTGCACACTTTTACTCTGCAAGTTTACACAAGGGGCTTCAAACCAAATAGCCTTACATCTGAGTGGGTTTAAAGGAAAAAACAAAACCCCCCCAAAAAAAACTATTATCAAGGTCGCACAGTGACCGAGAGAATTCAAGCACACTGAAACGTAAGTAAATCGTAACAGATAGAAAAAATGCTAAAAAAAAAAAAAAAAAAAGTACACAAAACAACAGAAATAAAAAGCAAAAGAAAAGGCTCACAAAACAAATAAACAAAACCGTCACAGAACACAAGAAACTTAAGTTTTAGGAGACAATAAAGTGACGGACCAGCCATGGAAGTGATGAGCTCACAGTAAACATCTAACAGAAACTCTGCTTCCTGCTTCTTTTCAGCGTGCCACAGTGCACACCTTCACATTTTTGTGTGATTTTGTTTGCACCGTAAGTTTGCATCAGTACAGGTTCACTAACGACATTCAATGAAGGTGCACCTGTTTTGCATCATATATGTATATTTATACACGACTTGTCTTGTTTTGAAAGGGGCTTCGTATTGTGATTATATTTTAGTTTTCCATAAAGAAAAGAGCTTAGAGAAGTGAATGCATTTTAGAAATACAGTTGTAAACGCTTGCTTATAATTAAAACATAATCGGCCCAGTTTCAGACAAGTGACAATAAGTGATCTTAATCCATCCATGTGATGGCAGACAGAGGTTCCCGTTTCTGGTAAAGACGGCTATGTGCTCTATTTTTACCTTACCATTTAATTAAAAACCCTTTCAGTTGCACATGAGGGAGGATGCAGATTGGAACTGCACCAGCATCTTTTAAAGACATCCTTTCCAAGAAGGAAGCTGTTGAAGCTAAACTGGATGAGCTTGATCAACGTTATGTTAAACAAAAAAGCAAAACAAAACACACCTACGTAATTCTTCTGCCTTATCAGCAGCAGATATCTCAGTCACGTTGCCGTTTGGAATCTGTAAAAAAAACCAACGCATGTGAAACTCAACAAGGAGACAACAAGGAAGACGTTAAAGCTCATGACAAAATGTCATGTGACCATAGCATTCCTACACTCACAGTGAAAAAAAATGAAACGTGTGTTTCCTGGAGTAAGTGAAAATGTGTATAGAGGGTCTTTCCCTTACAATACAAGGCAACTGTTGTGATTAGGTGCTATATGAACTGAATTCAATTGAATTGAAGCCAGAATTGAAAATTCCAGAGATGCATGCATGAAAATAAGATTAAAAAAACAAAACAAAAAAAATACGATACCTCCTTTTCCAACCAAGCAAAGAGTTCACAAAGTGCCACTGCATCTTTGATCTGTTGGCAAAAGCACAAACACACAGTTTATAAAAATATTAGACACACTAATATGTTTTACACTACATATTTCAGGGGTCAGTGATTCTTACATGTGCCATTTTCATGCCTTGAATCTCTGTGGCATTTTTCACAGCTTTGCCGAGGCAGAGTGGAGTGTAGGGAATTGGAGATCGGTGAGTCTTTACCCCCCCCCCCCAAAAAAAAAAAAAAAAAAAAACATCAGGAGAAAACATTAAACATGCAGCTCTTTTACTATTTTTTTTAAATATATTCATACTAAATGAGAAATATTTATTGTATTTTGCTGTATTTTTATAAATGTAATGAACCAGTTTCACATCGGGTAGAGCAGATTCATGTTACATATTAAGAGTTGTTAGTTTTGCTAAAGTTACAATATATTTTTCAAGTTTTACTTGCTAATGCAGGTGAGAAAATGAGTATTTCTACCAGACACTTAAATGTCTGTAATCTTATAAGTTTCTGTCCTATTTCTGAGAATTTAAAACATAGCATGTTTTAAAAAATCTGACCCTATAATCTGAGAATGTGTCATCTGATAGGTACAAGGAAACAGCAATATTTTTCTAAACTGTAAAAACTCTCTGACATTTACAAATAACCCCTGAGCCATAAAGTACTCAGGTATGTTTTTACCAACCACTGGTATTTAAAGCAGATACTACTTCTTCATATTTGTGTAAACAGACACGACCTAGATGCAATCCAGCTTGTTTTGGGGGTTTTTTTAATCTTCTTTTGTGAACACCAGAAGCCAACGATGAGCCTCTAAACATGAACTATTTATATCTACAGTGAGGAAACGATCACTGCTGAATTTATGAGACCAAACAGCTTTTAAAGGATGCCAAAGACAAGATTTTAGACCTGCATGAGCCTGGAACTGTTGGTACGATTATTCAGAAGTGGCCAATATACAAAATGACCTTCAACCACCCTTTGTCTGCAGCTCCATGTAAGACCTTGCCTCATGGGTGGTTGGCAAGGATGTCTTACTTCAGTGCTTGGTAACAAGGATTTCTCCACCAAGGACTACGTCATGTTCTGCTTGAGGATTGAATACTTATTTCACTCTCTGATATGAAAATCAGTTTATAACTTTTATGTAACGTGTTTGTTTTGGATTTGCAGTCGATATTCTGTCTCTTCCTGTTCAAATGAAACTACCACATGAATTACAGCACGTTCACGTCTTCATAAGGGAGCAAACTTACAAATTTAGCAGTGACTCAAGTAATGATTTCCCTCTTGATTAATCATTTCTCTCACCTTAGGGATGACCTGTGTGAGAGCACAACTGGCTTTATCACAAATCCACACTTTGTCCTTTGGGCCAAGTGCAGCACAGATGGCCTGGAGCTCAGTGTAGACCGACTCATACGGAAATGTCTGAATACTGAGCTCAGGTTTGCTAGGGGAGTCCAGCTGCAGATGCTCTCTCATTGCAGGGTCAGAAAGACGCTTGAGGTCCACAAAAAACCTGCAGAGAGGAAAGGGTTGCTGAGTGAAAAAGTGAAATGGTTAACACAGGAGGAAACCCTGTTCCTCTGGCTTTGGGAGGTGTAATCTGGATGTGCCCTTAACTAGCTACTAAATACATACGGTGTACATATCGCAATACATATAGTATACAATCTGGTTGCATACAATTATCTTTCATTAGCACTAACAGATGTGATTGCACTAAACACAATGAAAATGCACTTCAGTTATTCTGACATCTCTCACTGTCTAAGAGATGTCTTAACTACTGTCTAAGTTTTACAGTAAAGCACTGTTTGTCCAAATTCATAATCACTGATGCATCATACTGGACGTCACCTTATTGTATTCATTCCCACAATGGTATATGCAAAGAAAACTGGGTTGTACTCAATGTCTGCCCCGCGAAGGTTGAAAAGCCCTGAGAAAACAAAACGATAAGATGACAGATTAAAAAAATTAAACAAACAAAAGAAAAAAAAGAAATACCCTATTCTTCCTTCTATTATGATGCATCACATAGCAATGAATACTTTAATTCTCATGAAACAATGAGCCAGTATGAAGTGGGTGGTGTAAAATATCAGTGTTATTATTGAACTGTCATTCATCCTTACAGGTTTCATCTCTATAATCTACAACTATAATCTGCTGGTTGAAGCCATCCAGCCCTAAATGTTACCTGCTGACAATCAAAATAAGTCTTCATCTAATAAACAGGACAATCAGAAACAAGAGCAAATAAAGCACGGTGAACGCTGAAATCCTTGAATCTAAAGCAGTGGTTCTTAACCTGGGTTCGATCGAACCCTAGGGGTTCGGTGAGTCGGTCTCAGGGGTTCAGCGGAGCCTCCACCATGACATGTACAGTTCATTTTGTGCACCAATAAAAAAATACATCTATGCCTTGAATTTGAAAAAAAAAAAAAAAAAAAAAATCACCTTTTATTTTTCACTAAAGAGGGGTTCAGTGAATGCGCATATGAAACTGGTGGGGTTCGGTACCTCCAACAAGGTTAAGAACCACTGATCTAAAGGGACACTCGCACATGTGTCCTCTACTTGTTATCATGTACCGAACAGTAATATTTAAATCATGCACATTGAAGAGCTTAACTGAACTGCACTCAGGAGCAGGATAGGAAAACTGAACCGTACACGCAATCTCATCCAGTGCTGTTGCAACAAACCAGGTGATCTTCCTCTCTGACATCTTGGCTCGCAGCGTTGTGATCTTGTCTTGCCAGGAAATACCTACACAAAGCATAAATAACACACAAAGACACAAGTTTGTTTCATACAATGCCTATACATCTAGTTACTCAAGACTGGAAACGTAATTAAAAAGGCCATTAAACTGTGTCTAGATTATGTGGATTTCTAAAAGTATTACACCATTTTTTTAATTAAAAAAAACAGACGAACACTTAATAAGCTACTATTAAAAATAAAAAGAGGCTACATGTAAAATGGTTTTAATGCTATTTAATTGCACTGACCAGTGAAGTCTAATCCCAGGCTACGGAGTTGTGTGCTGGGTCTTTCTGGTCGGTCCGGCCAGACGGCATCGATAAGGTTATCCTGCACTGCTACCAACGAGTGGCCAGCACTGGACAGAGCCTTGAACATATTCTTCCATTGGTCTGAAACACAATATGAGATTTCTTAACAAGCACAAATACCAAATAAAAAAAACCATAGTGTTACTTCATATGGACAACAGAGTCACACTCTGCAGTAATATCAGCCAGCACGCATAGTTTCAAAGTCCAACCAGCTAATCTCATGAAGCTCATGCTGATTAAGTCGTATTAGCCTACTTACAGTTATTGCAAGCTGCATGGCAACCCACATCCACCCAAATTTGTCCTTTCATTCGGTTTTTGACAATTCAGATAACTTTATTTATCTCCATGTGGGTATTAGATGATGTCTTATCTGTTGTCAACCATGTGTGCTCTTCTATACTGTGCTATTGATATAAATTTGAAGTTAAAAAGAAATGGCTATCGATTGTAAACAATATTCTTCTGATTATACAGATCCTAACTGAATTTTTATTTATTTAGGGTGATTTGTGGGTCTGAAGTGGAGACGCTGCAGGCTGCCTCTACTCTACAACAAAATGCAAGTGTATTTGTCTGAGAGCTTACGAATTCCTCCATTTTTTTTGTGCAAGTTAAAATCTAATAAGATGAGCTAGAAATGTTCAAATCATGCACTCTTGTTGCATACTGGAATATTTCCTTTAGCCTCGGTTGCCTCACTGCAGCATGAGTGGTTTTCCAAGTAAAGCTTGCAATGCTAATTCACTGAACTAACATGAATATGATACTGTAGCTTACCAGCAGCAATGATCCAAGGATCTACTCCCACTTTTGAGTTTTCAGGAAGAACACTGATCAGCCAGTCTTCCTGTGAGGGCGTCTCCTTCAGCCCTGTATATGATTATTAAAATCAGTTTATGACACCTTCAAGACATGTGAATGTATAATATAAATGACTCATACCAATGTGGAAGATGGAATACTAAAATGTATGAGTGTCTACACTCGGTGCGGACACAAATAGTGTCTAAACTCAAGTCTGGGACACTTTTTCCAGTCTTAGAATAAATAAACATTCTGACTTATTGTCTAGCTGTGACTCAAGCCTTATTACTCATGCTGTGATAGATCTAAATGTCCATGTTGTGCCTGTGCAGCTGCTCCATTAGAGAGCCTCAAACTTTAAAAGCGCATGTAGTTAAATTTAACTTTTTAAATGAGAAGAAAAAAGATCCGTTGGTGTTTGTACTTTATGTAACAGAGAGAGATTTTTTCATCACTGAAACACCAAGGTGGACATTACCCATCTTCATCAGGGTCCAGTTGTTGTCCATCTGCTGGTTGGCTTGCAGGAAGTATCGGCCATCAGTCCACATTGCAGCATGCTGCTCTGTAACGATGGCTGTGCCTGAATGGCAAAGTATGGAAGAAATTTTGTTCAGCACTTTCTTTTGGCTACTTGGCTTTATTTGTACAAAAAGCATATCTATTCATTTCTCTGAAGCAACATATAAGGTTTATACCTCTGAAATGACAGCAGTGAACAAGCAGCCTGAGAAAGAGTGAATTCTTCTTGTCTCGTGTAAAACTGTGGTTATGTCAGGGCAAAAGGCCAGATTTCCACAGTGTTTTCTTACGTTTAAAAAAAAAAACAAAACAAAAAAAAACAACACCTTTCTTGAAAGTTCACAGCCTTTAATGGGAAAGAAAACTACTTTTCAACATGAAACTAGGTGCACTGGTGTTTTTTGTTCTGCTTTACCCTTAACAAACGAGTCTGAACGAGAGATATCAAATATCATTCTGAGTTATCAAATGTTCCAGATTTTTTTGCAGTGAAAATGTTTGATTATACCTACACTTGAGTGTGCAATGGGAATCATGCACAAGCAATACAAACCTGCAGAGCCGTCGAATCCAGAGATGAATTCACGTCTGCAGTCACACGGTGCAATGTATTCACTCTGAAAGTCACAGGGACACGGGAGAAATCAGCTTCATTAACAATCACTGTGAAGTGGCCATCCACCCAACAAACATTTTAATTGCCACCATCGCTGCTAGTCATGTGCATGAAGAAAAGGGCAGGGTTAGGGAAGTGTAATGAGCAAAGGGCTACAATCAGTTGCAAAGGTCAGACAAGACCATGAGAAGTAAATTAAAGTGAATTAAGAAGTGAATTGAGTTCACAGTGAGAAGGGAAATTAGAGAAGGGACAGAAGTAAGAGGAGCAGCTGAGAGATTTTCCATGCGTCTTGCTAACGGGTTGTGTAAAGATATTTATTGTAGTAAATGTGATTTGATTTACCTGATGTGCATCTCCAGATGGGATTATGTAGGCTTGTATAGGCTCAGAGAAGTATTTACAGTTCTTCATTGCCTGACGGAGCTGCCTGAGCAGCTCTCCAGTTATCTTTGGAGACATAGCCTTTTCTGAATGGCAAAGGAGATATGTTTGAAAGAAGTCAAGAAAAACATTAAAAAAAAAAAAAAAAAAAAATCTAAACATACATAGTTTAAAAAAAAGCAATCTCAAAATGCATCATAAGATAGGCTCTAGTTTCTTGTCAAAGCACAGATCAGTGTCCAAAAACACTGATACACCAGTACTCAATAGGTAATCAGATAGTCTGGTACAATTCCAAAACACAGATGTGGTTCTTTAGAGATTACCTGACTTTTCGGATGGCATGTTGAATTCAGATGACTGAAACTGAACAGACTGACGACAACCTACCAAACTATTCACGTGGAGCTCAAAGTCACAGGCCACACCTGGACCTTTATTCTGCTGCAGTATGCTGAATAAGCAACTGTTACTGAAGTCAGAGTTAAATATTAAAAGAATAAGCTGACTGGGTTGAGGTGGCATTTGTGTGACCCTTTGTACCACAATAATCACCTACAGCAGTGGATTCCCCCATCACTCTCCACAGTGAGTGTGAGGCTGTGTAAAAAGAATCCACAAACCGACCAATCAGGTAGCAGTATTTTACATCGATGAGGTCTCCTATTGGCTAGAAGCTCAGCGTGCGGTTGTTGTTTACAAGTTGACATGAAATGAATCAGCTGCATTCAGTATCTGAACCACTAGCTAGTTAATTTTCTCAATAAAATCCAATTATTGTATCTGAGTGTGTTTTTAAAAAGTAATAAAACAGACAAACGCAGAGTCTGTAGCCGACTTTTGTTTCCATTAAGGCATCACTTTTTTTCCTTGAAAAGGCCAAACAGAACACACAAATAACTAATTCATTCCGAGTATCGGCGATGGATTTACATGTGGGTGTGGTAACACACCGGTGGAATATTAGGAAAGTTGCTAGCTAATTATCCAGCTTTACAGCTGAAAGGAAGCGCTTTTCTCGCAGCTTTCGTGACAGACAATACTACAGGCGTGGGCGGACTGGTCGTTTTCCTCGTTTTGAAAACAGTCCACAGCCTTCTGTACTCGCGCTGAGTCGCCTTGAAACAAAACGCTAGCATTTCAATCCGCAGCTAGCGACCATAAAACGGTAAAGTAGCCCCCCGCATGCAGCCAGTGAAGTGCTGAATACACACCCGGTGGTTTCGCCTTGAAAATGCGACACTCAGATTTAAAATCGAAGCGCTCTTTTAACCAGCTCGGACCTTGTGTTAATTTACAAAACAGGAGGCTGCCATTTCGTTGTTGACGTTTGTGGTCACGTGACTGTAGCTTCTTCCAGTAGACGTAGCGGGATCCAGACTCGCCTCTTCCTCTGTGAATAATTCATGCGCTCTCTACTGCAAACACATAAACGAAATACCATTTCATTAATATTTAAGACTGTGTCCACGCAGTAGATCTCTGAGAGTGCGAAAAGAATCAAAGTGTGTAAAGTAAGTGAAAGGCTACATGTGAGAGAACTGAATCAAGCACACAAATATACACGATGATCAGCCTGCATCTAATATATCATTAGTTCAATTCCTTTGGTTTTAAGTTGTGGCTTCTAATAATTTGTATTTGTTTATTATTAGTTTTAAAGATTTCTATTTCTTTTATGGATTTAAATGATCGATCTTTATCATTTTTTTATATCTTTGTACAAGAAAGTTGAAGAATGGAGTGTGCACAGGGTGGAGTGTTTGGAGATGAATCTCAGGGTGATTTGTGACAGAGAAGCAAGAGTGATGGTAGTGTTTTACAAGGACAGGACTAGAAATGAGTATATCCGAGGGACAGCTCAGGTTGAGTGGTTTGGAGACAAAGTTGTAATTATTTGGGTATGCTAAGGATGGATAGTGGACATACTGGACGAAGGATATTGAATATGGAGCTGACATGCAGGAGGAAAAGAGAGACCTCTGAGAAGATTCATGGATGTAGTGACAGAGAACAGAGATCCTAGGGATAGCGTGAGGTACTGTCACTAAGTAAGACAGATGCCGCTGATCAGCTGCGGTGAGCCCTAAAAGAAGTAGCCAATACAAGAAAAAGAAGAAAAATAATTTTTACAGTCTTGTTTGTTACATTTTCTGTTGTCTTTTCACATGGAATAAAATTTTATTTATAAAATTTTGTTTGCTTAGATGTGGCTGGTTGTCTGATACATACTCCTGAATAGATTGCTGATGGGTACAGAACCCTGAAAAAACATAAATAAAGAGTGGGTAAAACTCTCCCCTGAGATGTGTGCAAACCTGCTGACCAACTACAACATATGTTTTATTGTAAATGGACTGGTTCTTATATAGCGCTTTTCTACTCTGAGCACTCAAAGCGCTTTACATAACTTCACATTCACCCATTTAAACAAGCACTTTTTGCTTTGTTTTTCTATGTAAGTGCTTTCTAACTGTCACACAATATTGCTCTGCATCAGAGAGCAACATGCAGACTAGAGCAACCAACCTGACTAGGAGATGACCTCCTGAGCTATGACAAACCAATTTAAACTTTTGCGTATTGTGTTTTTTTTCTGGATTATTTGATCATTTTACCTCTCTCCGGTAACACTTTAAAACCTAGTGTATCATATTTGATTTGCTCTCCTGATATTTAGACTGTAGTATTGATATTTTAACCTTTGCCTTTTGGGGAGTTTTTTTTTGAAACTTTTGAAAAACTTAAATGATACAATTTTAAGAATGACTGAAATACTGTATATTATTTTGGTGCAATCTTTTCAACTTTTTACCCACATAGATGGAAACTTGAGGTTGATTGCACGGCCTTTAAACTTATAAAAAAATATATATTTTTAAAGAGTTAAGTGTCAGTTTCTGCTCTTTGTGATCATCATCTTTTAGTTTTAGCAGGAATTCATGTGGTTTTTGAGCCAGACAGTTTGCGTGATGCTCACGTGTTGAAACTAAAACTAATCAAAATGTGGGAAACTGTCTGAATGTGTGGAAAAGAGTGAGGGAATGGGTGGAAAAGTGATATGCACTTTACCTGGACACCATGTTAATGAAAGGAATAACACTGCAGTCTATTTAATCTAATCATTAGACATTTTGCAGCTATTTGGAGGTTTGTTTTGCTGGAATGAATTGAAAAAGTTAAAAAAATCTTATTTTGCAAATCTTAACAGAATTACTGTCCAGCTAAAAACTGCATCTGCAATTTAAACACATTTACTCTGGAAACTGACAAGGCATCCAAACATTATTGTACTTTATTCACAAATTTCAAGATATACACAAAATTTCACATGGATATTTGGAGAGTGCATACATGAAAAACAAAGTTAGCAGGTCAGAAGATACAATAAAACCACCCACCCATTAAAGAAACCAAATGACATAAATAGAAAAAAAATCTAGTTTGCAGAAATTTCTAAACATTAAACTCTTACCTGTTACCTAAGCCTTGTTACCTACCATTATTATTTTTATATTTATATTTTAGATTTTTATAAAAGTAATGAAAAAAGGGAAATTCTTCATTGACTGAAATTTTTTTTCCAATGTAACAGATTGTGTTCATTCGCTTGATGATCACTGTTGCATTTGACAGACATTCTATTCACAATCTTTTTAAGGTCATGTAACCCCACTGACGGTGAAGGTGTGGCTGAGTCTCCGGGCTATAAATAAGTTGCTGAAGGCAGCAGACAGGCAAAGGCGAACATCAAGCCAAGAAGAAAAGTCCATGGCGTGAGGGCTGGACTTGGACTTGGACTTGGACTCGGACTTGGACCTCCTAATAAGAAATTAGAAAGGCATTCACATGTTATTTGAATGACTAACAATGATCACTGAAAACACAAACTGCGACTGCAAATATTAGATTTTTACAGCTGACAGCACAGAGCAAAGATGAAAACTCAATTCAATTTTATTTATGTAGTGCCAAATCACAACAACAGTCCCCTCAAGGCACTTTATATTGTAAGGTAACTAGCACAAAGAGACTTGAACAGGCAGAAACTGTTGTCAGTCATGCCTGACTGCTCATCACTGTTTTTGTTACCTGTTAAAGTTCAGGTTTTCAGGTTATTTGCTGGGCTGGGGTCAGCTTTAGCATCACTCTGGTTCTTGGCTAGCTTAGCATTAGCATGCTAGCAAAGCGCCATGCTATTTTCCTTTTTTAAAAATAAATGTAATGTCCATATCCACACTGTTGACTGGACCACTGTTTTTGGCGAACTGAAATCAGCCGATTGATTGTAAGTGGAAACGTTAAGTGATATCAGACTTATGATTTCCAAGGAACTGAACCACTGGGAACTGATTCTCTACAAGGTTTGGTTCTCAGTTCCAGTCCCTATTAATAGCTCATATGGCTTCCAAGTTTTTCAAGTGTTATGCATTATTTTATTGTTTGGATTGTAAAAAAGGACTTCAAAGTGTCCTTCTATATGTTGTCTAAATACATTGTTAATTTCATTTTACCAAAAGGCATTTAAAGCATAGTCAAAGCTTTAAGAGCAGTATAAAATGCACTTACTTGTACATATGTCAGACTCTCTGAAGACGCCCATTTTGTCACTGGTTTTGACAGAGCTCAGCAGGCCAGTGCTCACATTCCCTTTAGCATACAGACAAAGTAACAGTGCTTACTTACACATATACCAGTGTAGTTAGCATACTTAGAGTTTCACTGTTTTGTTATACTTCACAGAAACTGCTAGTTCAATGGGTTATTATGAAATGTGAATCTTTGTTGTACTGAAAGTTATGTTTCCCTTGATGTCACTTGGCTGACAAAAGAAATGCCCTTTCAATATTTTGGCTTGAATCAGAAAATAATGCCATGAGAGCAATTTCCGTAAGCCAGTTAAAGAACTTAATCGTTTTATTCTAATAAAAATGATCCAGTGGTGGCCTTGTGTGGAATTATTAGAATAGTAAACTCTTCACCTTTTAGGAGACCTGGGATAGTATAAATGACTGTCATGTGATATAATGTGTGAAAGCTGTGAAATTCTCCTCAGTTACCCCCTGGGACAAAGGAAGGGACAGAAAATGAGACTCCCAGACTTCAACTCCAGTCTCAAATTACTTTTCATTATTCCAGGTTTGCGGAAGATTTTCAATACCCATTATTGTTCATTGTATCGATGTCCTGACAAAAAGCTTGGCCAGTCTAAAGCAGCTGAACCATTTACTGACATAGATGCTGTAACATTCACGCAAGACTAACATTAATATTGATAATACGAACAAGGGAACACTCGGGGACAAAGGCATATGACTCACACTGCCCCCTCATATAAATAATATATACATATATTATAAAATCATAACATAAATCAAATAATATTCGATTAAAAGTATGAAATAATAAACAAGAATGGAAAAAGTCTAATGTAACAGCCAGGCAACGGGAAATGAATTATATCAAAGGCATTGTTTTAAGTACTTGGTACCTGGGTGGTGCAGTAGTTCTAGATCAGTTCTAGGTGAGGAGTTCTTTGAGGCTATAGTGTGTGCAAATGTTTTGGACTGAATGGTGAAGAAATTGTATTATGTCTCTTAATCAAACAATAACTCAGGTTTGATATGTCAGATATTTACAATAAAATATGATTAAAAATTTACATTTGCAGTCTGAAGTTTGACTGTTTGAAGCACCCAATGTTATTTGGGCCAAAATATCTTCATAAAATTGTCAAAACAATAAACATGACCTGATAATTAGCTGGCCTGTTTGATAGTTGTCCATCAGCTAAATGTCTCTGTGGTCATAATAAAGCAGGGGAAAATGCTTTGGCTTTTCATTCTAAATCATCTCATGAAGCAGAAGATGCATGTGAGTTCCCAGAGTGTGGCT